CTCTCTCTCTCTCTCTCTCTCTCTCTCTCTCTCTCTCTCTCTCTCTCTCTCTCTACGGCAGTCGCGTCAAGACGCGCGGCAAACTTACCACTTCCGAATCGGCGAGTTCGCCGCCACCTGAAAGGTAACGTCGCTAGCTCGACATTGATGTTTCGTCGGGTTGCTGTGCTGCTGTCCGACTGTCTGTCCACTCTTCTGTCGGCTCTGTCTCCTGCGCGCAGTTGACCGTTTTGAAGTTTGCGTGCGGGTGTTGTTTTTTTTTAAGAAATGTTCGCGCGGGCGTTTACATCGCGTTGGTGTTGGTGCGGTGCAACTTTTGGAACGGTTCGGTCTGGTCCGAAGGCCGGAGGGAGGGCTCTTTGTGATCCACGGCAATACCCGCCCACTCTGTTGACTCTCGTTCACCAGACGAAAAGGGAGGGGGGGGGGCTTTAATTTGTTGTACAAAGTTTTCTTGCACGGGGGCGGATCTCTTTCAGGGCCGTGATCGAAAGGGGGGAAAAGCGGGTAGAGAAAGTTGACGTGCCTCTCTCTCAAAGGGAACGCGGCAAGCGGTGGCCATCCGACCGGCAACCAAGGAAAGAGGAGTTATCGTCAAATGGCACTCGCCGGTACTGGACGTCGCAAAACTGAAGGGGTGCGTGGTTCTTTTGACCGTGCGACATATCGCTACACAGATACAATTATCAATCGGTCTGGCGACGCTTCAGTGATTGTAAATGAATCTTGTCTCCCATCTTTTCTAATGTCACAGAAAAGACCATGAGTAATTTCTCTTAATAGGGTGTTTGATTTCCCTGGTTTGCCTTTTGTTGAAATATGATACCATTCTCGTTTCGGGTCTCGATATTGCGTAGTAGATCCTCTCCCTGGCGTCTTGCAGTGTGACTCGGTCGGGGTGCTCTCGAGGCGGCGGCGCACGCGGTCTCGTAATACTCTACTTTCCTTGCGTCCCCTTCTTCTTCCGTAGGCCTCGGCCGACAGACATGGAAATCAGTTCAAATTTGCCTCAGCCACTCTCGTCGTCGTCGGGGATTTGGCTCGTTTGCCCGGAACGTCTTTGTAAATACGGTTTGTGCTCGGCCCGCCGCACACAAGCAAGGAGAGGGCTGAGAAAATAAGGAGGAAGGATGGAAAAAAATGTGGGGGACTGAATTTTATTTGTTGTAGGGGCGTAGACATCCTGTTTGACTTATTTGACAGAGCTGTCTCCTCCTAATCCTGTGATGGAAAGCTGGTCTGTTGCCCAATTTCACGAGAGGGAGGGGCAGGAGACCCTCTGTGTGTGTGCGTGTGTGTGTGTGTTTAGGATGGGAGTAGGGGAGCTATCTTGTTGCCGTTTGCCTCATTACGCATCAGAAATGACATGGCGCGGGACTCGATGGTTTGGAACGCTGCGATACTGTCTGTGATTAACTGGTCGTGTTGCAGGCGGTGGTGGTCCTGGTGCTGGCGCTGGTGCTGGCCGCGGCGCGGGCCCGGCCGCAGGGCGCGCAGGGCGGGGACTACGCCTACGACTCGCCCGTGCCGGACAGCGGCTACTCCACCATCAACGGCCTGGCCCCGCCGCCCACCGGGGACGCGTACCGCTACGACAAGCCGGCCGGGCCCGCGCTGCCGGAGGACTCGCCGGCGACCACGACAACCACGACGACCACCACGACGACCGCGGCGCCCGAGACGACGCCGGCCGCGGAGGCGTCCAAGTCAGACGAGGCCGCCGACGACAAGGACGCCTACAAGTACGACAAGCCGGGCACTCCGCTCGAGGACAAGCCTGAGGAGGCCGCGACCGAGGCCGCGGCCGCCGCCGCTGAGGCCTCGACGGAGAAGCCAGCCGACGACGACTCGTACAAGTACGACAAGCCGGACAAGCAGCTGGAGGACAAGCCCGAGGAGGCCGCCATGATGACGGAGGCTGCGGCCGAGCCCGCGGCAGCCTCGACGGAAAAGCCGACCGAGGACGCCGACGCGTACAAGTACGACAAGCCCGACAAGCCCCTCCAAGACAAGCCTGCCGAGGCAGAAACAGAAGCACCTGCGGCTGCAGCAGCGACAGAGAAGCCCGCCGACGATGACTCTTACAAGTATGATGCTCCGATGAACCCCCTAGACGATAAGCCGTCAACGGAGGCCGCTCCCGCGGAGGCTGCGGCCGCCACGGAGGCGCCCGCCGGCGACAAGGCGGCCGACGACGACGCTTACAAGTACGACGCGCCGGCCAACCCTCTGGACGACAAGCCCACCGAAGCCGCCCCGGCCGCCACGGAGGCACCCGCGGCAGAGGACAAGTTCGCCGATGACGACTCGTACAAGTACGAAAAACCTGAGAACGCTCTGGAAGACAAGCCCACGGAGGCTGCACCCGAAGCCACAGAGGCGCCTGCTGGAGATAAGCCGGCCGACGACGGTTCGTACAAGTATGACACTCCAGAAAAACCTTTGGAGGAGGCCCCTACATCCGTTGCCCCAGAGGCCGCGCAAGAGGCCTCAACCCCAGCTCCAGAAGCAGCACCTGAGGCCGAGGGATACATCTACCCGGCGCCGACGGAGAGCCCCGGCGCTGCGGAGGCAAAGGCTGACCCGGACATGAAGTACTTGCCGCCCGCGTCCGACAAGATGGATGACGCTAAGGCCCCAGATATGGCGTCGCCCCAACAGAATGAGGACGGTTCCTACAACTACGACAAACCCTCAAAGACTTTAGAGAGCGGATCAAAGTCTGAAATGCCGGATATGAAGTATTTGCCGCCGGCAGATAAAAAGGATGCAGAACCGGATATGCCGGCCGATATGAAGACCCCGGATATGGCCGCGCCCCAACAGAACGAGGACGGTTCCTACAACTACGACAAACC